GAGCGGTGCTTTTCACGCTCAAGCGGAAGTCTGTGTCTAACGCTCGAGCGTACCTGTTTGTATATCAGTCCGTGATATTAACATTAACAACCCAATGAGTAATGGTTACCAGTTTTCAATAATATTTGTGCTCGACAGTAAATATGTAATAAAAAATTGAAAAAATATATGAACCTAGTTACAACAAATGTTGGCCAACAACAATTCCCCCAAAAATCATTCTAAGAGTAAATATTCTACAAGAAAATTATTTTTGCAGATTGTCTTTTTTTTTTTTCGGTAGGAGTTTGATTTGTAGTTTTTTTGGATAATTCCCAGATTCTACTACCACAGCCGCCTCTCCATTGCCGGAAACTGCCGTACGTACCTTGTCGAGGTTGAGAAGTTGCCCAAGCCCGTCACTTCTTGCACTATGCCCACTCTTCCAGGTTTTCATTTATTTTTTTACGGATTAGTAATGCCATTTGCTTCATTCATCTGGGTTTTAGTATTTTGTTGGGTTCATTATCTATGGTCTTTTATTATTTAGAAAATTTAGATCATAAACTCTGAATTTGGATCATTGGTTTAGGTGATTGTTTGTTTGATATGTGGATTGTTAAATTTTTTGCCCACCAAGTGTTTGATTCTATGCTCAAGTGACAAATTTATCAGAAACAATTGGAACATGGAGTGTTTGAATCTGTTTCAATCTGCTTTCACAATTGAACATGGTCACCAATATATGTACACCATTGTAACTCTGTTACAGAGTATTGTGATTTTATTGAGAGATAGACATTAATGAAGATCATTAGAGAGATAGACATTAATAGCAAATCAAACCACTGCATAATTAGCCAAGCCCCATGGAACATGGTCATCAAAAATTGGGATATAATCTCACCATTGTGTTTGTTTGTATGCATTTATTGATGAGATATGTTGTGGTTAAATTCTCATTCGTTGATGAATCCCCATATATTTTATTCATATTTAGTTAGAACTTGGTGGATTGAAGACAATTTTATGCTCTAACTCTCTCAGATTCTTATACTTATTTGAATGTGTTGGTTAGTTTAATCATATGAAAAGAAGTCAATTTTGGGCATTCTGCATATTGAAGACCCATTTCTACTACTTGGTCTAAACTTGAGCACATCCAATTCAACAAGCTGCTGTGAGAGCTTGACTGAGTCCATTTCAGACAATTTTAATAATTTAAATTATTTATTATGCAAGGCTCATTGACTACTATTAAAAAAAATTACGTTAATCGAATATTTGTAGTAATATGGTCAAATGATATATATTTTTTAGTTATGCGTTAATGATTTTGACTGCTAAGATATGCTTGAGAAAATACCAAATTTTGTTGCATCTTAGATTAATGATTGATAGTTGTGGATTTACTTATAGATCACTTAATGATTTTTAGCCTCCTACTATATTTGATTTTTAGCCTCCTACTATATTTGAAGGTACGATTATTACAATGTTTTATAAGATGTGGGCAATGGGTGTATTGGAAAATGTTCTTGCATCTTTCCATTCCATTTCTCGATTTTCTGATTGCATTACTACATTTGCATTATTTTGCAGTTGGTGTCTTCAGAAAGAAAGGTACCAAACTATATGAAGCAAGCTTGAAGGATGAGAAGCGTTTAGATCAATGGCTTCATTGTTAAATTAAGCAAGTGTTTTAGTAAATAAATTTAATTTTCCCATCATGTTTACACCTTCAAAATATTCTGTAAATGACATTTGATGTAGAATTTTTTGTACAGAGGACATCTTTTTTGTATGATTTTGTGTTTGTATGGAATTATTATTTTAGGTTGGATAATTCAGATTTGTATAGAATTTGATGTTAAAAGATCAAATTTTTGTATTGTTGAAACGAAATAGAAATAGATATATGTATTATTTTGTTTAAATACAGGGTGCAGGTTACACGAAATAAATACAGATTGTGAAAAAATTAATTATAATAAAAAAAACACAAAATAAAGTTTTTTTCCATTAAATGTTTAGTAGCGAAAAAAAAAAAAAAAGTGAATTTGTTAGTGACTAACCAATTGGTAGCCAAAAAGGAAATCAATATTTTTAGTGACTAAATATTTGGTAGCAATAAAGAACCCAAAGATTTTTGGTGACTAAAAATTTAGAAGCTAAAAATATAATAAAGACTTTCGGCTACCAAATGGTTAGTAGCCAAAAGTTTAATAAAATGAAAAATAATTTTTTTGGCGACTAAATTCTTTAGTCCCTAAATGTAGTAATGTTGTGACTAAAACTTATCAACGACAAAAAGTTTTAGTCGCTGAAAATTTAATTAATTTTATTTGAACACTTTTGGCGACTAAATAATAGTCGCCAAAATATCCCCTTTCCTGACTACTCAAAGTTTCGTAGCCAAATGCTTACTTTTGGCTACTAATATTTTAGTCGCCAAAACATAATCTTTGCCGACTAACGAAAATTTAGTAGCCAAAACGTTCACTTTCAGCGACCAAAAATAGTTTAGTCGCCAATACTATCGCCGACAGGGTATAAGCGACGAGTTTGGGGACAAAATATTTTAGTCGCTAAATGGTTTCGGCGACTAAATATTGGACTTTTGGCGACCAATATTTTGGTAGCCAAAAGTGACATTTCTTGTAGTGCATATTCACCACCTCTACTAACTACTATGCAACTCCGGTATAGTTTTGTGTCTTTACAAATTTAAAAAGACAATGTTGGGAAAATAAAAGGCAATCATTAAAGTTTTAAACAGTTAAAAATAAAAAATGAAAAAAAAAATGTGGTTTTAGTTTTTCTTATTCCATATATGGGTGATAATTTTTTTTTAAATCCATAAATTATGGAACAGTATTCATTATTTAAAATTTTATTTATTGGTGGGCAAGTCAATTAAATGTTTTTAATTTTTTACAAGTAAAAAAATTTAAAAATTTTGTTTAAGAAATTAAAAAAAATGGTCAAATCGTAAAGAACAATATAAGACGTCATACTCTATTAAAAAACTCATAATTGTATTATCAATTTAAATATATCAAAAATAATAACAACAACAATATAAAAAATATGCAAACATCCACCAAAAAAATAAAAATAAAATTTTAAATTAACTCCCAAAACAAAGATAGTTAAACAAATATATATATATATATATATATATTCAATTTAGTTGGAAAAAAAGTCATATACAAAAGAAAAAAAATACTCACACGAAAATAGAAATTTACAACAATAGAGGGGAAAAAAAATATTCATGAAAATAGAAATTTATAAAAAAAAAAAAAAATACAAACAAACAAACAAACTTGAAATAAGTTTGGACTATTAACAAAGAGAGACTAATTTTTGCATCATTATATTTGGAGAGGAGTTGATCGTGCTGAAAAAATATATCAAATATTAACTATTCTAAAGAGAGAATTATATTAAATTTTTAATTTGATTGAGTTTTTAAAATTTTAGAATTTATATTATTTTCGGAAAAGATGAGGATGACTTACTATATTATTTTGAATTTTGAAATTTAAAATCATAGATAATTAATGCCTTTATTGTTTCTTTGTCTGAATTGTTTTGATCAATATTATTTTTGAAAAAAGTAAGGGTGACTTATCATATTGTTTTAAATTTTACAATTCAAAATCATAGATAATTAGAGGTTTTTTTTTTTTTTTTTTTTACTTAAGGACTAACTAATGGAGTTTTTTTTTTATTTCTATAAAAATTAACAAATTAACAAATTAACAAAATTAGTTTGGAAGTTGAAACTCCCACAATCAATATTTTTAAAAGATCATTTCCCTTATATATATAGATTACAAATATATATATTTTAATACCATTACCCATAGGGTGTCTACGCATGAATTAGAATCCTCTCCTTCCTTTCTTTCCTTATCTCCCTACTTATAACTTATAACGGTGGAGATGTATTCTAAGATGATTCAACAATTCAAATTTAACTTGTTTAATATATTTATTTTTTAAAATAATCAGATCTAAACTATTAAATTATCTTAAAATATAACTCCACCACTATAAGTGTAAAAATAAAGAGAGAGAATAAGGAGAGAATCTGACTCGTCCAGGCATAACTCCACTCTGTTGTTGTCGTTAAAAAAAAATTATGCAAATAATTATGGTTGTTATCAACAATACCAGCAAAAAGAAAAAGTTTAAGAAAAAAATAAAACTAATTATAGGAATCCACAACCACCGTTTTGACATCTTCATGCGCACTACGCACCTCTTCAAACTCATCAACATTCTTCTCTCTCTCTCTCTTGTCTGAATCAAACCCTATCAATCAACAACAAATAAAATACAACCATTTATATATACATATATATAGAGAGAGAGAGAGAGACAGAGAGAGAGAGAGAAAGTGGGTTGGTTCGTCATGCATTTGCAGAAATGAAAAAACCACTCGCATCTAAATGTTTCGTTCTCTTTCTCCTCCTTTCCTTCGCTCTCTTCCTCTTCTTCTCTCTCCAAACCCACCACGATAACTCCACCACTGACCTCCGAATCCGACCCGGATACAAAACCTACGAATCCTACATCCAACGCCAGCTTAACAAAACCCAGAACCCGAAACTCCGAAAAATATGGACCACCCGAGATTGGGACCGCAAGATCCAAGTCTTCTCCACTTTCTTCGCAGATTTAAAGCACAAAAAGCTCCTCTCAAATGAATCCAAGGCTCTCTGTATCGGTGCTCGGGTCGGGCAGGAAGTGGAGGCTTTGAGGAGGGTTGGAGTGTCCGATTCGGTAGGGATTGACTTGGTCCCGTACCCGCCCCTTGTTATTCGGGGCGACTTTCATCACCAGCCGTTCGATAATGAGACTTTTGATTTCGAGTTCTCGAACGTGTTCGATCACGCGTTGTACCCCAACAAGTTCGTTGGGGAGATCGAGCGGACGTTGAAGCCTGGTGGAGTTTGTGTTTTACACGTGGCGCTTTCTAGACGGGCTGATAAGTACTCGGCCAATGATTTGTACAGTGTCAGACCGTTAAAGTCGTTGTTTCGCCGGTCCAAATTGGTTGATGTTCGGACCGTTGACGGGTTCGGGTTAGACACTGAAGTGGTTTTTCGGAAAAAATCCTAATTTTTTTTTTTTTGTCTTTTTTAAAATTTATTTATTTATCTTATTTTTGTGTGATTATGATTTATGATGACGTGTACACTTTTGAGTGCCCAATGTTTTTGTTTGTGAGAGATATATATACAAAAATGAGTAAGAACTCTAAAAGTTGAGCTCTAAAGAAGCATTAAATTGTCTTTTTTCTATTCATGTTTTGTCTTTTACTTCTTCTTTTTTTTTTTAAATGATGCCAACTCATTAGAGCTGTTTGAGGGCAGCTCTAATTAGAGCTCTCTAGCAAAGCCCATATATATATATATATATATATACATGTATTCTTGAAAGAGGATTTGATTTTTGTTTTATATTTTTTTATGTGTTTGTTCATTTTTGGTGTGTGTTTTTGTTTTGTTGTTGTCATTTTTGGCTAAGCATTGATATGAGAACATCTTGTGTGGTCACTGGCAACAAGAACATCTTTAACATTAATGTTACATTTCAAAGGACATCATCTAGAATGTTACATTAAATGAACATACCTTATATGTTTTCATGTTACTATCCACAAGAACATAATTATGGTTGCCTAATCTTGATTTCAATAATTTTTTTATTTTTTATTAAATATTTCAATGACATTTGAATTTATAATATTTTACAAATAATATTTTACATTTTTTATGGATGAAACTAATGGTTAAGATTTAAAACATTTTTTATAGCATGTTCGTACATAAAATAAATGGTGCTTAAGCCACAGGTTCATTTTAAAAGGCATAGATCCATGCATTTTTTGTTTGGCACCATAAGGACAAGTTTATCTGTTGAAATGAGAGAGAGAGAGAGAGCAATCGGACCACTTCAATCCTTCTTGCATCCTTTTTTCACCGCTTTTAGTCATTTCTATCATTCATTAACTATTGGTTTCTTCTCTCTTACTACTCACTCGCTCTCTAAAAGGCTTCACTTTCTCTCTCCTCCACGATCCTCTTACACCTTTTTTTTTAATACATTTGTTTCTCGTAAAAAAGCCATGTCGAGAGAAGATTTGGAGAGTAGGGAAGCAAAGATCTACAATGGAAAGAGATAGCCGGTAGTGTGTCTATTTTTAGATATTTGTGTGTGTGAGAGAGAGAGAAATTGCTTTGTTAAATTGTTGTTTCAATAGATAAAATAAAAATTTGAATAGATAGGTTAAAATAATTTGGATAAATAGATTCAAAAAAAATCCAACAGATAAAATAAATTTTTGAACAGATAGGTTCAAAAAATTTAACGATAAAATAAAATTTTGAATTGATAGGTTAAAATAATTTGGATAAATAGGTTAAAAAATCGAACAGAAAAAAAATATATGAACAGATAAGTACTATTTATGGAACAAAATCTATTAATGGACTTTTAACCAACAAATTCAAAAACGTAGTCCTTATGTCCCCGACATATTCATCCCTTGCCCTGAATGACTTAGAGGGTTGAGAATCTAGATTTATCAAGGATTAATCCTAGAATTGTTTTAGTAGCTTGTACAATTATTGTATTTATTTTTATGTAAAATATACGAGTATTTTAAATTATGTATCATGTGTCTTAAAAACACACATTAACGAAATATGTGTGAACTTTTATTTGCGGTTACAAAAAAAAAAAAAAAACACATAAGTCTTATTGTTTCAGAAAAATTATCCTAGATTTTTTTGGGTAATGCATTTTTATGGTGAAAATTGAATTGGTGTTGTGGAGCTCAAATATAAATGAATCTGAGTTATAAATTAATATTTGTAAGTAAAATTCGAACTAAAATTTCTAAGTTTGTAGGATTATAAGAAGTTAAACAAAAAAAATTAAATATAATCGAGACTACAAGATACAAATTTGATTAAAAAAATAATTTTGTTAACGTGTGCAAACAACTTCAATGATTTGTACATCTCACATAAAAATAAAAATAAAAAACAAGCAAGCAACCAGTAAGCTAAAAGGCCAAATACTCCATATAAATTAACAACAATGTTAAAATACAGAAAACTAAACACAAAATAGATACATATATAGTGCCTGTTTGGCACAACTTATAACAACTTTTAGCTTATATTAAGCTATTTTGGAGTGTTTGGCACAGCTTATTAAAACAACTTATAGCTTATGACTTTCAATCGAAATGACCTTCCGCCATCGCGATCCCATCCCCCCGTCACCACGACCTTCCGCCAGAGCTAGGATTTACAATATTTTTTTAATTAAAAAATAATAATAATAACAATAACAATAAAGCATTTTAAGTGATTAATGAAATAGATTTTAAAAAAAATATTAATTGATATTTGTAACAGTTTTTAATAAATTAAAAAAATATCAATTAACTCACTTCTAATTTGGAAAAATAAATTTAAAATATTAATTAGTATCTGTAACAATTTTTAATTTTTAATAATTTAAAAAATATCAATTAATTGGTATTCAGCATTTTTCAAAATTTTCTCATGATCAATCTCACTATACATGCATCACTTCTAATTTGAAAAAATAAACTATAAACTAAAGAAAATAAAATAAAATAAAGAAAAAAAATTAAGAGCAGAAAAGAAAAAAAAAAAGAAATAAGGAAAGAAGAGAATAAAAAACAATTAAGAGAAGAAAAGAGGAGAAGAAAAATAAAAAAATTAAATTAAATTAAGGAAAAGAAAAAAATGGCAAAAATGACATTACACAATAAAAAATTATTTTACAACTTATTCAATTAAATACTACTGTACTGATTAAATTTATAATTTCTACACTAAATAAATTAACAATTTATATTTAAAATTATAAATTATAATTTATTAAATCATAATTTATAACCACTTTTTTCCAGCTGAAACGGTGCCATACACATACACTCTCTCATCATAAATTAAACAAAGAAATCACCGCCCGAGAAAGCCGGCCGAAATAGACTGGTTCTATCTTTATCTTTAGGGAACAAAAAAGAAATTATTTGATACTCACATGTTTTTGTTTTTTGACTGCTATGTTAATTTCAATTATCATTACATAAAAGTAGCCATTCAACAACAACGACATTTTGAAAATGTGGTCACTTTAGTACCCTAATGGCCCACAATAATGTTGCCTTTGAACAAACTTTAAATTGCCTATGTAGAAAATTAGTAATGTCAGCCACCTAATTACGAAAAGTTAGTAGGCTAGATATAATGTCAGCCACCTAATTAGGAAAAGTTAGTGGGCTAGATATACAGGGATGGGCACCCTTCATATTTTATCTCCGCCGTGATTCCGACCCCCCAGTACGAGACAACCTCAGCACCTCCCATCTCTACGTGGGGTTGGCAATGAAAAAAAAAAAAAAAACAAACAGTTTTTAACCAATGGGAGGAGACTCCAACACTCCCATTGGGGTCCAACTCATTTTCGTTTTATCTCCCTATACTTCCTCATTTATAAATATTGCAGTAAACAATTATAAACATATGAATAAATAGTATTTTATTTTAATAAATAAATAATCGAAGTTTACAATCAAATTTGTCAATTCATTTTATAAAATAAAATGTGATTTTTTTTCTTATGTCTATAAATGTCCAATAAAACTCATTTTTTTGTAAAAATGACCATTATTACAAAACCTACGAGATAAACGATTCAGATTATCAGTATGAATTTGGAATTAAGTCTCGTAAAAAGAGTACAGAGAATTATGGAGAGATGAGGTATGAAGGAGACTATATCCCTACATATATAGACTATATTTCAAATTTTAAAATATAAACAATTATAACTGCAAATCATGGTCTGATTCACGAATTGATGAATTTAGAGCAACAATTGGTCAAATTCAAGAATTTCTTTGGTAAAATATGCATATTTGAAAGCATATTAAACTTTTAACTAGGACCAAGCTACTATGTGACACAAATGGTGTCATTGAAACATGCTTATTGCCAGAACAACAATACCATAATGTAACACTTTTGTATTTTTTTATTCTTTTAAACGTATTACAAAAAAATTTCAAGAGCATTTAATAAGAACATTTATATTAGAGGTAATTTCTCATGCAAGGATTGGTGCATAAAAAACTAAGAATTAGGTGTCAGGATTGGTGCATAAAAAACAAACAGAAAAAACTTAAAACTCTGACACCTAAATTTATCTCTAATGACGTGAATTGTTACCGAATATTTAAAATAACATAATATATATATATATATATATTCCCAGTCTAGCCCAAGATAATGTATGCGTAGCTCGGGGGCTTATTAGTTTACCCCATCTATCTTAATGATCGGTTGCAACTCAGGGAAGAAAAACTGGTGATAGACACAAAATTGTCTATTCTGGTTCTACATTTGCCTTTGCTAATCGCAGCTAAAACTCCGAAAATAATAAAAATGAAAAAATAAGAGTAAGGCTTGATTCATGTAGGAATCAAAAACCTTATGACATAAACCCTATTACACTATTGTGAATGAAGATCATGTTTGTTTAGCCGACTATGGGGGTAGAATCGGAGTATTAATGAGGTGGGTCTCACATTTAGTTGTTTGGTAGCTTCTTTATTTTTTTTTTTGAGGATATAGCTTCTTTATTTACTTGTTTGGTAGCTTCTTTATTGGGTGGGATTACTACTCCACCTATACTATTACTCTCACACCCCAACCGGATCAACTTTCCCTTACATGAGGTGGAGAAGAACCGGCTGCTGCATCAAATTCATTTTTTTTTTTTTTTCCCGGTGGAGGAATATGACACTAGTTTGGCTGCTGCACCTCGAAGCTGCTTTTGGCTGCTTTAATAATAAAAAATGAATATTTTATAAAATTAAATTAATATATGTTTGAGAATAAAAAAATATTCAGTATGTTTTTGGTCCTATTTTTTTTGAATAATTTTTTCAAAAAATAATTTGAAAACTCTGACCTTGTTTGTCAAGTACTTAAAAAGTTAAAAAATAAAAAAAGTTACTATACTATTTAAATCACATCACCTTTCTATCACATCATTTAAAACCCAACCCAACCCATATTTTATGAAAAATCAAAAAATATACTTCTTTAGAACATCCCAAATCACCCCTCTATTTTGAAAAAGATCTTTGTTTGGTATTCAAAAAAATGCATCATTGCAATTTCAAGTTTCCCTCCAATTTAAGGAGAGAGACAATTTTGAAAAAAAAAAATTTGTCATATCAAAAAATACTCTCATCTTAATTTTATATATATATATATATATATATATGTACATACTATATATGTATGAAAATATAATTTGATATATAACCATTTATGAGTACATATCCTATCATTAACTATGTAACCTTATCATAAAATTTTCACTCATTTTAACCATAGAAAACGTAAAAAAAAATAATTCCAAATTGGCATTAAAAAATTTCTTATGTAGAATTAAATTTTCATAAATGTCATGCAAAAAATTTATTTTATCACACTATCGTAATATTAACACAAACATGTGTAACCTCATCTGAAATTGACATAACAAAATGTCCAAATTTTTTGTACTTCATATTACAAAAGTTTGCATGTTAGTTACGATTTTTTTTTTAATGCCAATTTGTAAAAAAAATTATGTTTTCTATTGCCAAAATGAGTACAAATTTTATGATAAAATACACAAAATTATGTTTTCTGTTGCCAAAATGAGTACAAATTTTATGATAAAATCACACAAATGGTAAAACATGTCCGCATAAAGTCGCACATAAATGATAGGATATGTACACATAAATGTTGTTAAAATGAGTGCAAATTACATTTTTTTTAATGTTAGGATATGTACCTATAAATGATTACATACCAAATTATGTTTTTATACATATACAACATGTACATATATATATATATATATATAAAACTAAGATGAATATTTTTTAATGTGACAAAAAATTTCAAAATTATCTCTTTAAATTGGAGGGAAACTTCAATTTGCAATAGTGCACTTTTAAAAAGTGCATTTAGTTTTCTGAATAACCAAACAAGTACTCTAAAATTTTCAAAAAAATGAGTTTGAAAAACAACAACCAAACAAAGTGATTAATTTTGCATATTAATACTATCAATAGTATTACTAATCTAATGAAACAAACACTCTTTATCTTATATCTCCAACCTACTACTACCCTACTAATAATCTCCCCACACAATCACACCGTACTTAGTCAGCCAAACAAACGTGGGGTATTGTTTAAAACATGTCTAGCAAGACTTGAGAGCGAGGGTGTGAGACCTACAAAACTTAAAAACCACAATCTCAGGACGCTGGTGTAGTGCCACAATCTCAAAACTCAAAAACTACAATCTCAGGAGACTGGTGTAGTGTCACAATCTCAAAACTTTAAAACAAGGGTAGAAATATTTCTTAGCAGAGGACGCTGGTGCGGTGCCACAATCTCAAAACTTAAAAGACCCATGTCAAAAAGAAAAAAAAAAAAAAAGAGGACTCCTGGTAGAAAATCAAAATTCCAAAATAAGAAAACCACCTTAAGTAATTACTGGTTCACTTGACTGTCTGGAACAATATCAACAGGCTGACTTTCAGTGTCTTCAAGTTGTAATTGAGTGGCCGCATGCTTGGCCTTCTTGAATCTTCTTGAACTTCTAAGAATCATATTCATGGTTATGTTCTTCGGGCTTGGAACTCTGCTCAAAAACCCAATAGAGATATGAGAGGCATTGGCAGCATAGACATATGGTAAAAGCAGTAAATGATTGTTGAACAACATAGAGCTTAGTAGAAACATTTCAGTTTTCTAGGTTATGAAGAACAGCAGCTCAGCTTAGGTTCTTCTTTATTGATTTTTAGTTATTTTATCTTTCTTTTTTTTTAACAAAACCAAAACACAAGGAAATACAAAGTAAAAACATGGGGAGGCAATGAACTATGTGTTAATTCACATTTGTTTTATACACTTTCACCCCCGGTATTCTTGTCTTCTTCCAGATGATGATGTGATGTGCGGCTTCAACACTATTTTAGCACTCCTGATGTTTCCATGATCTGAAAATATTTAATAATAACATACACTTCTAACACGCAACCGATACCTTGTGCATTGGAATGATGTTGAGAGAGAGAGAGAGAGGATGCACGAAGGATTTGATTATTTGAAAGGAAGTGAGGAGTGAGGTGTCATAGAACGTTTTTCATCAACGAAAAGTAATCGTGACTATGATATGATTTGCATATAGACACAAATACAGATACACAAACACAAATACTAATGTTTTTCTATGTATATTGACATGTTCTTGGCAAGTTTGTGTAGCCATACAGAACCCATGTTCATGTCTATATCCAAAATAACCTTCAGAGTTATTTGAACAAATTTTTATGACATGTGAGAACTCAAATGGAAATAGTTTACTCATATCAGCAGCCTAATTACAATGTAAAAGATCCACTTTAGAACAAGAAAAAGTAAAAAATTAATTATGTACTTACTGTGATTTTATGATGTTTTTCCCATCCTTCTCTTTCGCACCATTAGATCCTGTGGCAAAATTAGACATAAATAGAAGACGTTAGTTACAACAAGCTTCAAGAATAGTTGCCAAAAAGAACATAAAAGAAAGTAAAAGGATGAAATAAGAAATGCTTAGTTGAAATATATCAAGGCCTTGAAGAAGAGTGCATAACATATATCGTCTTATATTTCATTTTACTTGGTAAATGCCTAAGCAACATGGTTTTTTTAATCACAAAGTAGATGAAATGCCAAGAAAGAAGTAAGAAAACAAAATGCAATTTATCAGCAAGTAGACACACAACGATTATGGGTGTACAAATGAAACCAAACAAGGATGATCTTGAGTTACCATTTCTTGGGGAGTCCAGATTTGACTTGCTTTCCACTTCCGAGGAACCTGATGAAGACGAATTATCTGATGGGGTTCTGGTGGTAGCATCTGAATTTACAGCCCCAGATTCATCTTCAGAACTCTCACTACTACCATCCCCAAAAATGGCACCAGGAGTAGCCAACAAACCCTTCTCAGACCGTGAACTGTTCACAACTTTCCCCATTGTTTTACTGGAAGCTTTCGAAACCTTCGCATGATGGCGATCCATACTTAATTGATGCTTGGTTTCCTTTCTATTTCGGAGATTTTTTTCAGAACTTTCAGAGCCTAAGGTTGTTGCAGATGAAGACTCATTGTTTCTCTTTGGATGAGCAGGCACAGAGCCAATGGTCTTAGAACCATTAACAGCACCAACCTGTTTGGCTTCTTGAGGTATGGTTTTGATCTGTTCAGCACGATCAGAATCAGGAGCTTTTACCACGTTCTTAGAAACTTTTGAAGACTTGGAGTGAAGCCCAACCTCATTGTGCTCATCTTTCGACAATGATTCTTGACATTGAACGTGACTAGAATTTCTACCATGAGATTTTCTTTCACTTCCCTGGTTTACATACAACTTGAGTGAGTTCTGTAGATCAGGTGAGGTGGCTGAAGAGGTTACAACAAGCTTTTTGGCTTTCTTTTTAGCTTTCATGTCCCCAGCTGATCTTCTCTCTTCACTTGCCTTGTCAACAACCAACTCAACAGGTGTAACTTCATGCTTGTGCTCTACAGACACAAAGTAATCCTTGAAGTTAACCATATCACCATCGCACTTTGAAACTTCTATGTGACCATCCGCATTATCCATATTGCCATTCTTAAGAGCACTATCATCAACATCTGATAATGGAACTTGGGTCGAATCAACAGTCTTCAATATCTGTTGGGGATGGAAAGAACCATGTTCCAACTCCTGTCCAGTTAACTGATTCTTGGAATTTGTTTTGACCGATTTACTTTTCCTTTTAGTTCTGGAAGTAGTGTCCACCTCTATCTGTCTGCCATTTGAAGGAGTTAATTCCTCACCACCAAATTCTTGCTCTTTGGCTGGAAAATCTGGAAGACTCTTTGCAGCAGTGTTTTGATTCAATCTTTTTTTCTTTCCCGATTCCTCATCCATCTTTTCTTCACTCCTTCGAATCATGTTACTTTGATTTAGCTGGAGAGACCCTACTTTGTTTGCTTGCTCTTTCACTGGAGAATCTGTGAGGGCCTTTGCATCAGAGCTTCGGTTCTTTTTCGATTTCTTTCTTGAGTTCCCATCCACATTTTCAGCATTCCCTTGAGTTCTATTTACCTGAGTTAATGGAAAAGATTCCACCCCATTTCCACTCATGTCATCTCCTTCCCGATTTGCACCAATGAAAGAAGTATCCACAATTTTTGGCTTCAATATCTCTGTCCTTTCAGTCTGAGCAGAGATGTTTTTCACTTTCTTAGCTTTGACACTTGAATGATCAGTAAAAATTGAACGAGGCGTAGTTGAAGAAAGCCCACTTGTGGAATTATCAGTGTGCTCTGTGCTTGACGTGACCAGCTTTGTTGCAACAGATTTCTTTGCTGTCTTTTTGATCCTTTTACTGCCAGCAGATTTTGCAGATCCCATGACTATGTTGGTTTCTGACAAATTAGATAAGGCAACTGCTGCTTTAGTACCCACATCTGCTTCACCCTGATTCAAAGGTTCACACTTTTCAGACAGCATAGCTTCAGGATCACAGTTCTGTGGCAATTTCCTTTGCTCTTCAATTTTATCAGGACAACTAGTTTCAACCTTGTCATCATCAGTGACAATATTTTCATGCCCAGAGTCTGTGCTTGACGTGACCAGCTTTGTTGCAATAGATTTCTTCGCTGTCTTTTTGATCCTTTTACCGCCAGCAGATTTTGCAGATCCCATGACTATGTTGGTTTCTGACAAATTAGATAAGGCAACTGCTGCTTTTGTATGCATATCTGCTTCACCTTGATTCAGAGGTTCACAATTTCCAGACAGCATAGCTTCAGGATCACAGTTCTGTGGCAATTTCCTTTGCTCTTCAATTTTATCAGGACAATTAGTTTCAACCTTGTGATCATCAGTGACAGCATTTTCATGCCCATAGTCTGTAACATCCTTCTTCAGGTTATCAAACTCATTGACGACTAGCTGAGGAAACTCTTTCACATTAGTGGAGTGATGCTTCTTCGAATTTTTCGTTGCTTTTGATCCACTTCTGCCTTTTGCATTTTCAGCATCAGGTCCACTAACATCAATGCCTACAAAATATCAGCAGCAAATTCAGCAAGAGAAGTCTTTTTTTTTTTCTTTTTTTTTTTTCCATTTTACATATCATATCATTAGATTTGAAGAAGAATTTGATGAATGAAAAAAGGAAACTTCTAGATTACATATTGGTACTTACCTATTGATGAAGAAGGTAATTTGTTCCCTTCGACCACTTCTTGCACAGATTCAGGGTGTTTTTCCATCTGAGAGTCTCCAGAAGGTCCCGAAAGTGTTGCACGCTGAACATTTGACTCAGAAACTATTACAGCATCAGATAGCCTATTTGAATCCATGGCAACAATGTCCACAGTTTCCTTCAAACTCTCTTCTCCAACGTTGTGCAGAGAAATGGGCTCAGGAGTGACCACTTGGTCGTGAGAACTTGGTAATTGCTTCTTCTTCTTCCTCTTCCTCTTCCTCTTGTTCTTCCCCCTGCTTGGACTGGCTACCAAATGGACATCTTCTGGAGGTTCAGTAAATAAACAATCTGAAGTAGCAGTCGTAGTTTTCTGTTTGTCGTCTACAGATTTCTCAGGGTTTATAGCATTTGGCTTGGAAGTTTCTTTATTAGAATTAGAAAGCAAATATTTGTTTTCTCCTGAAGGATTTCCAGCTCCTTCATTTTCTCTTTTACGCTTTTTCTTTGCAGTTGACATGGACTTTGTAGCTTCTACTAATGTGTCATTGCAATGCACATCACCAATCATATTCCCGCATTCAACTTGTGTTTTGGGGATTTCTGCTGAAGCTGACCTTATATTAATATCAGAAAATGAAGTCTTGCAAGGTTCCTTGCCAACATCCACACTTACCATCTCCATCTCATTTATGACTTCTTTACCAGTGTTACCAGAAGAAAATTCAGGGCCAATGATCTCTGGGCGTGATCCATATATATCAGATGCAAGGTTTGAAACATTATTATCATTCAAAGTGAAACCAGATACATCATCTTCACTCGTCTTCTTGGATTTGCCCCTTTTCTTTGAAGGAGGTCCAGTTTTCAAAGATCCTTCCAGTGAATCATTGCATTGAACATCACTAACTCCAACTTGGCAGTCACCATCTCTGTGCTCCACATTTGTTTCTGGGATTTTATTTCCCTCGCTAAGCTGATCATTCTTCTCCACTTCAAAATCTGACAACCGCTTGGAGTCACAGGACAAATTTTTGCAAAGATCATCAGTAACATATGTAACTTCTGTCTCCTTATTTTTCAAAACTTCACCTGGACAAGACTGGCCACTCTCAGGAACTTTCTGGTTCATGTGCTGGATGATTCCAGGTTGTAGCAGCAATGATGTATCAGTTTGTGGCAGCGCTGATGTATCAATTTGTGGCAGTGGTGATGTATCAAGAAGAGATAACGTTTTCGAAGAACTATCAGGTAAAAGATTGTTTCTATCACCTGAAGGAGTTTTTGTTACGCAGGGTAAGGCTACATCAAGCTTGCTGGTAAATTGGTTATCACCGTGCTGCTTTAAACTAGAAGCATCAACAGAGAGAAACCAGCTTTTCCTAGCACCATCGAAAGCACTTTTAAAAAGCATAGAATCTGATAGGTGATAGAAATATCCTTTACGTTTCACCTGCAAGGATCACACACTCTTGTCAATGTGATGAACACAGTAAACAAGCAAGGTTGTTAATAACCTTCCACCACATGCAGAAGTGACATACCTTTAAGGCATGGATTTTTATCTCCCCAAAGTCAGGAAAGCACTGTGGGTGCTCGATCATAATTTTCTCTGCAGAATAAAAACAAGGAAATCGAAAATGTAAGTGATTCAACAAGTAAAATGACATGAAGTTGATACTGGTTGGAATAAGTAACAAGATTATGTAGAAAAAAGAAATCCAAGAAAGGTGCTACACAGACAAGCAGGTGTGCAATTGCATTTGTTGCATTTATGGTCCACTTAAACACTCCCCTTATGCTTCTAAGGCTGAAATGAGTTCTCAAAACAACAAAGGATAATTGGTTTTGGGCACATTATGCATTTCTAAAGGAATAGTAAGATTAGATATGGTTATGGCAAAGATTGTACATAACATTAGCCGAAACTACTGAGTAACTACGACATAGACGCTCTATCCACAGTTTTGCTTTATCAATGATTTCTCATGCCTTTGCATTTATCATTAAAAAAGAAAAGCGAAATAAATGAAATAAAAATTAATAATTGTGGAAGGGTAACAGTAGTAATCAAACCCCCAATTTATCCCACAGGACAATTCATTTATCAGAAATCACAGGGCTACCATAAAAGTTATCCCATTATACATTACGAATGAGAATCAACAAGATGGCCAGTGCTATCTACCCCAACATTCTGGTGTGTGTTGTAGTAAACGTGGGGATCAAACTCTCAACATACACACAAAATGCAGTAAAGCTGCTTAGCTACTAACTCTCACACAACCTGCTGTAAGTGAGGGGCAATTATTGCATACCCTCAATGCCATGTGAGGAGCAATTTTTGGCTTGGATCACATCATCTCTCTATCTTTACATGTCTATTCATAACAAGCAAAAAAGCCAGCTTTTTTAGCACTTCCCAAAGCAAAGTGCTAATCCGTTTGTACATATGAATTTATATTAAAGAGCTTTACCGTGATGCATTTGAAATATCTATGCAAAAGTAATATTTTGAAATCTTGCTATAAAAAATTCTCCTTTTAGCTATAAAAATGCTACTAAAATACAACTTTTCTAGTTTTTCTATCCACTTCTAATAACTAACCCATCAATATTTTTATAAAATCCAAACTCAAATACCTTGATTTGACATCCACCTCTATCCAAACAGAGCCTAAAATTGATCTAAAAATGCTGACCACTAGTGAAGCACAATCCACAGATTTTAACTCAAATAGAGCCACATTTTAGTGATTCTCTCCAATCAAGACATCAATGAGTAATACAGGAAGCATACAATGAAAGAAATCAATCAAAACAACACGATCTAGCATATTTTTCAGTACTTTATAAATACAAACACAACTATCTACAACACAAATACAAAGCAAGGGTTAGAGAAAAAAAAGTACTTCTGAGGTCGGAAACAGTATCCGAATCAGAAACAATCGTGATGAGATGGGTGTCGAGATTGGTATCGATGAAGATCGTGTTGTAACCTGACGTTTTTGTTGCTGTGCCATCATCGGAATCGGACTCGCGATTCGGCTTCGCCATTTGCGAAGGTAAAGTTGGATGACAACGAGAGAGAACTCTCTGGACTTTACTCAATGCTCTCTCTCTCTCTCTCTCTGGTGGAGGGTTTTTGCTCTTGTTTCTATGGCGGCAATGGCATGCTAGCTTTGTATAGAGAACAGGTGTGAGCTGACCTGTCCCTGTGCACAAAACCTAAGAGCTTTTTGGGGCAATTTGAGAACTTCTTAAAAAAGCCAACTTTTTTTATTTTTTAGGGTTTTTTACACAATAAAAAAAAACAACAACAACAACAAAAACAACAACAACTTTTTCACATCAAAAAGCTATCAAAAAGTAAAAAAATAATTAATTTTTTTCTAACTTCTCAAAATACTACTATGCCGAAGGTGGTGGCAAATAAATATTACTCCAACTTTTAATAATAAATAGAATAAATTACAAACACACCCTTAAAATTTATTTAAATTACAAATTATTTCTTTTAGTTCTAGAAATTACATTATGCCCCTAAGATTTCTGATTTCATAACAAATAGGTTCTTTTATTAATAAATCAAGTTAATTAACAATTTTAAATAATATTAAAATTTTATTTCAATTAATAATTTAGATAATTTTATTATTGTATAGGTGAATAGTTAGAAATTTCACTTTTCAATTAATTCTATTAAATAAAAAATTCTAACATAGAGGTATTTGTAATTTTCTAAACCACAGGAGGCGATTTATATTTTAAGCAAATTTTAGAGGGTGTATTTTTAATTTACCCTAATAAATAATACTAACAAAATTAATAAATAAAAATATTAAATAATTTTTAAAATTTAAAATGAATTACACATGTTTTTTTAAAATTTAAAATATATATATAATTCACTCTGTTTGTTTTCAGTTTTTAAAATTTACTTTTCAGAAAATTATCTTTTTCATTTTTTGTATTTTTTTGTTTTCACTGAATTTTTTAATATTTTAAGCAATTTTTTTATTTTTTAAACACACTTAACATAAATACACTTAAAAAGTATAATATTTGTGAAAAAAATATTTTAAAAATTCACTAAATACTAAAAATACAAAATTTAGTACATTTTTTCATATTTTTGTGTATTTATTAATTTTTTAATTATTTTTTCATAAATAATTTACTATTTAGAATACATTTAAGTAAGGTACATCAAAAAAGTAAAAAATTACTTAAAACTTAAAAAATATTCACTAAAACAAAAAAAAAAAAACAAAAAAAAAACTCAATTTTTAAAAAATTAAATATTAAAAACTAAAACCAACATACTATAATCTCTCACATTTTGACAAGGTTTACTCTGTTTTTTAATCAATTGTCTGTAAAGGTGGACAAATATTGAACTAGGTCAAGTCGCATTATAGGGCAGTGTTTGATTGGGGGATTAGGAGGGGGGACTATCCACTATTTGGATTGTAATCCAAATAGTGCACCTTATCCGTCGTTTGATTTTTTTCCCATATGGCGGACTCCATGTCCGGCCGGACTCCATGTCCCCCATATGGGGGACTATCCTATCCTGGGGGTGGGTGGGATTGTTTTGGGGGGACTAATCACTATTTGGATTAGATGCGAAAATGACCATTTTGACCCTCTACTATTTAATTATGTATTATATTTAGTAAAATTCAATAAAATTTAAATGTCTCAATTTAAAAATAAAATAATTTTATTTAGCTTTTTGTTGATGTTTTATTTATTTAATTTTTTTAAAAATAATTTATTATAGATATTTTATTGATGTTTTATTTTAAAATTTTGCTTATATTTTATTTAATTTCATTATTTAAATTTTAATAACTATTTTATTTAATTTCATTACTTAATTATTATTATTTTAAAAAATAAATTTATTTAAAATTTTAATTTAAAAAATAACATATATTTTTATTGATATTTTATTTATTTTATTTATTTAATTTTTTAAAAATAAATTTATTTAATTGTGTACAAAATAAAATAAAATAAATTTTTATTTAATCTAGCTAAAAATAATTAAAATATTAAAGATATGTTTAGTATTGCTATTACTTAGTAAACAATTAAAAAATGATAAAATAGTTTTTTGTTTATTTATCCTATCCAGTCTATTTAACCAAACGTTGGATTCACTAAAAATAGTCATTTCCAGACATCTAATCTCATGAAAAAATAAATACATGATGCATATCTAATCCAACCAAATAATCCAGGGGATTCACAGTCACAAGACTCAAGTCCGATGGATTCTAATCCCCCTTATCCAGTCTGTCCAATCAAACACACTCACATAGTAAAAATATTTTTTTATTTTTTATTATTTTTTTGATTTATTTTGTAATTAAATAATAGGATAAATTACAAACATACCCCTTGAGGTTACTTAAATTATAAATTATCTCCTGTAGTTTAAGAAATTACATTTTACCCCATAAAGTTTCTAATTTCATAATAAATAGGCCTTTTTATTAATAAATCATCAAGGTCTTTTTATTAATAAATCATCAAATTACTTAATAGTTTTTAATAATGTTAAAATTTTATTTCAATTAATAATTTAGATAATTTTATTATTGTATAGATGAACTGTTAGAAATTACATTTTTTCAATTAATTCTGTTAAATAAAAAATTCTAACAGGGACGTATTTGTAATTTTTCAAACTACAAGGGACAATTCATATTTTAGGCAAATCTCAAAAATGTATTTATAATTTACCCTAAATAATATAGAATTTAAATTAATATTTTCTAAATGAACGGGCCTAACTAGGTTGGGTTGGCCTAAAACTTTTTGTCCCAAGTCAAACCCAAAAATTAAAGGGGCTAAAAAATTATGTCCAATTTTTCTCAAACCTTAAAAATATCGGATTGGACTAGGTGGGTTGGGCTGACTATCAGGCCGATGACCACCTCTTATAATTCGTTAATTGTATAAATGAAAAAAATGACATTTTTATCTATTTTTTAATAAAAATGTATATATATTTTTTTATTTATTTCAGTATCTATCCATTATCTATATTAGTTTAAGTCAGTTTAGTCTTAGGCCTTGTTTGTTACAATCTAAAAAAGTCAAAAAGTTACTATCATATTTAAGTCACATCATCTTATTTAAGTCATATCACATCTCTATCACATCACTTCAAACTCAACCAATACCCAATTTATATTTTATAAAAAGTTAAAAAGTGCACTTATTTAAATCATTTCAAACAACCCCTCAATAAGGGAAGATCAATTTAATTATGTCACAATTTGGGATTCACTACATTTTTCTCAAATCTCAAAAAGAGCGAGTGTAATTTATTCTTTCAAAAAAAATTAAAAGTTGTTTTGATTTGTAAATAATTTTTGGAAAAATTGTAAAAAATAAATAAATAAAAATGGAACTCAAGATTTTACCATTGGAACAAAATAAACCCTTAACTTTTTACCTTTGTAATAAAATAAACCGTAAACTTTTTTTGGGGGAATTTCTTGTAATGGACTTACCGCAGGTACTATTTCGATAATTTAAACTGTTCATTTCTTAAAGTGTCTGTGTATATCATCCATAGAGAAAATTTGCTCAATCTGATAATTGTAATTTTTTTTTTTATTTCTCTTCAAAAAAAAAATTAACGACAAATATATTTTTTAAAATAAACAATTTATTTTTTGGAGATTTATAATAAAATGAAAAATCAACCTAATTTTTTTTTTTATGAATGATATATACAGAGGGACTTACAAAATAAATTGTTCGTGATGATACAGGCCGTCCCGAGTGGATGGGTCAGGCTGGCCCAGGTTCTTCAGGTTCTGGTTTCGGGTGGTGATTCCGTCAAATGACCTGCAAGCAAGTCCAAAGGGGAACGGGGCAGTCCCCCAGTGAACCCTCCGGCGAGAGAATTAGTAGAAGGAAGACAGGAAAATGTAGCGAAGAAGATGGAGAAATGAAAAGCTTAACCTTATTCTTGTGCTTCTCTTGTTGCTTATATCCTTTGGTAATCATTTCACTGTCCTTTGTGACGTGCCCCCATTTTCGCCGAAAGCCTGTGCCGTAGCTTACCTTGTTCAGGGTGAGGGGGCTCTGTTCCGACAGGGAGGTGTTGTCGTAATAAATGCTGTGATGGGCTGCATTAATGGTGATGTGTTGTGGCAATAACTCTGCAGATCTTTGTCTGCTGATGTGGCCTGTGTCTCATCTGTCATGTGTCCGAATGCCCTTGGGTGATACAGTCCAGGTGGACTCCAGCTGTCCTGGGCTTTGCCAATTAAGTTATGCTACGGGTCCGAGGTGATGGGTTCGGGGCGGTTTGCCGTGGGCTGTATGCCTCGTGGACCTGTCCATGTCAGTTCGAATTATCAAAATCAAACCATATTAAATTGAAATTACAATTAAAGTGTACAAACCAAATCATTAAAATTAAAATAATGACCAAAGATCAACCACCGATGAAAGTACAATTTCTTACTACCATGTATCTATCTCCTCCATTTCATCTTTTCTTCATTCCATTTATTCAAAAGACAGAGCATACTGTTTTTCATTAATCTTTATGGTAACTGTTTTCTTTACTCATTATTTCATTACTTCTTTTGCTGTTGCTCCTGCTGTTGTTTCTTGAGCCCTCTCTTTCGCATTCCAAGGAAATACCGAAGAAGACAGCAATCCTGTACAATATCTGGGAGAGCTCGGATTAGGCAACACTGCAGAGAATGTGGCCAGTATGGTATAGAAATCTGCTCGTAACCGATTGCTCGTAAACTTGCTTTGCTATATGTCTCTGGGGATGGAATGAAGAAAGAAGACCTTTTAATGGATGCCATCTTTGTCGCCACGAGTAATGGGATCTGGAGGGACACAAAATCATACGATGAGACTCTACGAGTTTGAACCGATCAAAATAGGTATTGTATATACGTACAATAACTTACTTCGAAGTTAAGGGAAAGTCTATAGTATATTTTGTTAAAAAATGTACGGTACATAGAAAAATCAATGATTAAGATTGAGCTACATCATTAAAAGTGACCTGCTAAATAGTTCACTTTTTGCAGTTATGAGTCAAAATTATATTTCTTCGTAACTATAATCAAATTGATTATAACTTAGTCATAACCACATCTCATAACCAACACCATTTTGTTCATAATTAAATCACATATTTCATAATCACATCTCATAACAAACACTATTTTGTTCATAAATAATATCACATATTTCATAACCATAATCACATATCTCATAACCACATCTCATAACCAACTCCTTTAAGTCATAACCAACATCACATATCTCATAATCATTAGTCACATATCTCATAACCAACACCTTTTTTCTTATAACTAATATCACATATCTCATAACCACTAGTCACATATCACACCATTTTGTTCATAACTAATATCACATATTTCATAATCATAATCACATATCTCATAACCAACACCACTTTGATCATAACAAATATCACATATCTCATAACCACACCTCATAACAAACACCATTTTGTTCATAACTAATATCACATATTTCATAACCATAATCACATATCTCATAACCACATCTCATAACCAACTCCCAAATATCACATATCTCATAACCACACC